ATATATATATATATATATATATATATATATATATATAAATTTGAAGTGACAACAAAGATTCACACATCACTAATAAGAAGAAGGCTTGACTTTTAAATTGATAACTGTTGTGATAAAATTTTGTGACGCAGAACGAAAGTAAATGAAGACAAAAAAATTCATTGATTCACTTTTGCCTAGAAAATCTTCATGAATTAAATGTTTCATCATAAACAAATAATTTCCAACAAATAATTTGATGATCTGATTAAGTCTTCTTATCATCATCATCAATTATTTTGTTATTATATTTTGTTATTAAAGTAACAGAATAAAAATAACAAATTATAGTGTCAGAGATTGCTGAGTGTGAGTGAAAGAGAAAATGAAGATGAAAGAAAAACAAATTGAATAAGCAAAGAAGATGAATTAGGATTAGATGAAAAAATATATATATACCAAATATTCCGACTGAATCTCATTTCACATTTCATCTGCACTTGGCATACAATTTAGGCATGCTTATTACATCAGATTTAGTCACTATCATTAGTTCCATTCTTTACTTTAGTTGAGTTCTATGCATCCAAATTTCTGTAGTTTAAACATTTCCATTTCCCGAGCTTTCATTCATTTTCTTGACCAAATTAGTACAAAACATTGTCTAAAGATAAACATTTCCTTGATTTGACACACAGAAGTCTTTCTTACGGATTAGGAACAGGAGTGTCGTCAATGATCTATGGTATAGGAAATAATTTAATTTTTAGAGTGTTATAATATGGCTTTATAACAGTTTGTTCTTAGAATGACTTGAGAATTATGACAACTAAAAAATTCTAGTTGAATTTAGACATTATTTTTTGAAATTTTGTCTATATTTAAGTTAAATTATTATTATGTGTTTGAGAAAATAAAGGAAAAGATGGAGCGTGAAATATGGAATAATGTGCTGTCGATGTTAATAAATGTCTCCAAGAGTGACTTTAATGTTAAATGCGGATACTATGAACCCTTATATTAATGAAATTAAATTATATTTTATTTAATAAGAAAGCTGCATTGGTATAGTAAAATAACAAAATTACGTTTTCATAAAATGTTAAAATTGAAAAAAGTAAATTTTTCAATTGCATTCATGTATATAATGTTGAATATACTAACTTATAAGTTAATGATTACTTTGAAATATAACAATTATAAATTACTTATACGTTTGATAAAATTAATTAGCAAATAATATTTACATCTTTTAGCAAAAAATTATTATTATGTAATTATAATTTAAGATTTTTGAAAATAATTAATTTTTTATTAAAAATTTGAGAACTTCTACTTTTGATAGATTTTAACTTATATTTTTAAAAATTTAAATCTTAGTTGATTTAAATTACATAAAAATTAAAAAAAATACCACAACAAACATTAACAGTAATGTAATAATTAAAATAAATATCTAATATCAAGGTTCAAAATCTTAAATGGTGAAATGTTAACACTCTACTATAAACACAAATTATGTGAAAATGTATTAAAGATGATACAAAATTATTAAGAAAAAGATATTTTAGTAAAAGAAATAAATAACAACTAAAGTAACTTATATATATAGGCTAAAACCCCTGTATGTATGTTCTTTCACATTAACTCAATAGATTTAATGAAATAAACTAATAACTAACTTAGTTGTTTCATTAAACATTGAATCTATCATAGTTAAATAAAGAGGAAGAGGAATATCTAAATAACGTGTAGATTTCGTTACTTACATCACTAACAAAGCTAGTAATAAATTGAAATGAAAGGATCCACTTACTCAACCATAAAAATTAAACATTTACATGCACAAACCTACTTTCACCTCCGACATCTTTGGAAGACTGGATTAAGTGTTTCAAGAATCTGTTATAAAATCAAAAAGAAATATTAAACGAAATAAATTTTTATAATTTAATAAGTATTTTATATATCAATACATAAAAAATTAAATTAAATATATACTTATATATAAATATGAAAGGATGTCTTCGACGACAAATTTTACTGCACAACAAGTAGATTAAGTATATTATTTAAAGAATGAAATAGAGAAAGATCTATATACACAGATTTTTCGCGTTTAAGTCAATATTTAAAGTATGCATATATATTAGAATGTCAATGTATTTGCTAATGAAGTTTCAAAACATTATGTTAATTTAGTCTTAGATTCATTAAATTGTGTATTTAGAGACTATAAGTTTAAATATTTTTTTGTGAAAATAAAAATATTTGATGAATAATTGTTTGGGAGAAGATCATTACTATATGTCCGGAAAAGATGTGAGCTTCCAAGCAACTTAAAGCCCTGCATTGGAGAGATTATTTTCTTTGGCCTTGGCATCAATATTCTCAACTTGCTCTTCTTCTGTGACATACCAATTGTAAGGAAGCTGGATTTTTGGTCCTGAACCACTGTTGCTCTTTTCTACATACTCAAAGTCCACACGATTATCATTTGAATGAGAAAAAGCTATGTATTTCTTCCCTTCAATGTCACGTATATCTTGTTTGAGTATAGGTCTCATTCCCCATGCATTGATCTTAACATTTGCTTGCGCTTTAAATGTGATATGCGCCCCTGTTTTCACAAAATGACAGTGTTCTCGACTGATGTAAATTATCCAAATATGCCTACACATAAATCATTCACTTTCATCCGCCTTCATATTCAAATTGAGTCGCATATCAAAGTACTCTTCTGTGTATTCACTTTCAAAAGAAAGATAAAGTGGATGCGATGAATAAGATGAATTAAATGAAGAGTGAGGAGGAGATCCAACAAGCGCATTTGGCTTAAATATAACATAAAAACCAAAGCCAATCCAGTCCTCATTCGTACCACCCTGAAGTATCCTTATTATTGAATTCCCTAATAATGTTTTACCAAAGTTAGGTTGAAATCCCCATTTCCAAGGAAGAACAACGTCAAAGCCACACCGAAAATTACAGGGTTCCTATCACCATAAGAAAATCACAAAATAGTTTTATTATAATCAATTTATACTAGAACTTAATTGGCTGATAATAAAAAGGATTTTTTACAATTAATCTCTAAAAATATTTCTAATGATGAATTAGGCAAATGTTAGCCAAAGACAAAAAGAGAAGGTTGTAGAATGTGAACCTTAATTAGGTGGAAGAAGCGTTCAAGTCTGTCGAACTCAACTTTACCATAAGACACTTTGGGACAATCAAAGAGATAAAAGCCTGATCTATGATCACGAGATCCGGATACCGTTTTAAAATACTTCCCCCCTGATGTATCTCCTTCAGTTGGAAGGTCAGGCAAATATATGAGCTTATCACAATGAGACAAGTTTAAATATGCTAGACAATGAAGCTGATGGAAGGAATCAGGTATTGAAACAAAATTGTTTCCCTGTAGATTCAGTCTTTCTAAACTTCTTAAGTCTCCAATAGCATCAGGTACTTCTTTTAGTTTGTAATTACTTATGTCTAGAAAAATCAAGTATTTCAAATGGGATGAAGAAGCTTGTTTTGGTAGCAGATCCGTAAGGCTAAAACAACCGTATAAATCTAGAGTTTGAAGAGATGCCAAGGAATGAATAGCATTTGGTATACTGACAAGCTTTATACAACCTCTCAAACTCAAGAAAGTAAGACTTGAAAGGACTCCAATAGACTCATGAATAGTGGATAAACTTGTACATTCATTCATGTCAAGGTACTCAAGATGTGTTGCCCTTGTAAAATCTGGGGTGCTTTCAAGTTTAGAACAACCCGAGAGATGTATAACTCTCAGAGAACTCATGTTCCCTACACAGCCAAAATCAATGAAAACTAGATTGCAACAATTTCGTAAATTCAAGAAAGCAAGCTTCTTAAGAAGTCCAATTGTTGAATGGACATAAGATAAACTTGTACATCCAGACAGATCTAGCCTTTCAAGTTTTACGATTCTGGAAAAATCTGGAGTCTCACTCAGGTACTTGGAGTTGCTTAAATCAATCCTTTTCAAGTTGGGACAGCTCTGTGAGAAAGAAAGTAAAAATCACCTATTAGCATCTAATCTTAAAACTTCAATTTCATTATTTCTCTTTCAGTTTGGTATGCTTTCAGAATTTAAGACATAGGTAGATGAAAAAAAAGTTTCATTTTAGTTCATTAGGTGAAAAAAAATTAGAATGTCATAGAAAAGATGACAAATCATAGTTACTAAAATTAATAAAATTTTTACATTTCATATTATCATAATGGTAGAGAAAATTACACCCAAAGATAATCAAATAATATTTAACATGTTTTCATTTTTAAGTAATGTTTATTCGAATTATAATTTCAAAATTATTACCACAGTATTCAATACTAATATTCATCAGGTTCACGTTTTTCAGTTGATAGAAACACGTTAAATTATATAAATAATTCATTGAAACTATGTTAATTTATATTGAAACTGTGTTAATTTATTTTTAAATTTTTAAGATAAAAATATATTAAAATTTAAAATAATGATAAATTTTAATTTTGTGTCAAACTTAAAAACTAAAAACATATTTAATTCATATTGAAAGATTTAATAAAAATTAATTATTTAAAAAATATAAAATTATAATTATATAATAATATATTTTTTATAAAACATATTTTCCTTCAATAATTAAACTTATAAAATGATATTCTTATAATGTTATTTTACATTTATTAACTAGACTTTTAATTTATCCAACACTTTTAATAAAAAAGATAGTTTATTACCCTGAATATATAAATTAGGAATTTGCTTATCGGACAGTCTTATCAAATATATTCTTACTTTTTAATATAAAATGTTACATTATTTTAAGTAATTTATATTGAATTTTTGGAAGTTTCGAATTACGATGTCATTGTAGAAGTTAAAAAGAAAAATGACCAAAGTGTATTGCAGCTTCTTTGAGAAGCCCAAAAAGATATTCCCTCTTTCCATCATTTATTTAAATTGACATGAAAATGGAAAAGTGGTTATAGTACCTTGCGGCCTTCCCATAAATGTCTGATGCGACTGTTAGGCATATTCAATTCCACAATATTAGAGGCTGTAAAGTATGGAGGGAGAGAAGCAAAAGGATAATCATGCCACAATAGATATTGCAGTCTGTCTGAAAGAAACTCCAGCCTTCCTGAAATTCTTGTGTGATATAATATCAGTAATGTAAGCTCCTTCATTCTTGACAATCCCTCGACACTACATTCTGACATTTCTTCTTTTTTATTTAAAACTATGGCTTTCACCTTTTCTGTTCCCTGAAACATAGAAAATAAACATGTCAAGAAAGGCATCATTTTAATCAGTAGAATACGAAACGTTTTTATGAAAAGGTGAATAGTGAAGTTCTAATTAAAAAATCAAAACTTCACTTACCTCATACTACAAATATATTGATATAAAAGTATGAACAGTAGCAATTATTTAATGTGAAGAAAACTATCTAAAGAAAATAATCTTTTAGTTTAAATGGAATGACCAATGCCATCAACTATGTTGCTGGATATTACAAATAAAAAATGTAACTTGTTACCGTTTCTGCTTTCAAGGCATGCAAGAAGTCTTTAAGAAGCCATATTCTACTCCATGATCCTGGTTCCTCTGGAGATTGGTCGCGAACCATTTTCTTTCCTAATTCCTGTAACAATTCATGCATAACAATTTCTTCACTGCTAATAGTGATGAGTGATTTCTCAACGAGTCTTTGAATTCCAATATGAGGGTATAACCCACAACAGTCTAGAATTCGCTTAACATAATCCTCTCTTTCCCCTTTAAAGAAACACGCAATGTGTAAAAATATTTGTTTTTCCTCACGTTGTAGACCATCCACACTTATTCGGAGTACGTTCATAATTTTATTATTTGGACTATTCTCCAATCTGTTCAACACATCTCTCCATTGAACACCATCTCGATCACACAAGAAAGAACCCAACACTCTAATTGCCAATGGAAGACGTTGGGCATATTTCACTACTTCAGGAATCAAAGCCGCACACCTACTGCTTTGCTCTTCACTTTTGAAGGCTTTTCTACATAACAATTCACGGGCATCCTTATCATTCAATAATGAAACCTTGTGTATCAACACTTCACCCTCGTACGCTTTCAGAATATGCTCATCTGTGGTTGTAATAACCATCCTACTTCCCTTCGAAAGCAATTTAGGTTTTATGGCCAAATTTTCCAATTGCTCTAATTCATCAACATTGTCCAGAACTATGAGGACCTTTATCCTGTGTAGCCTATTTTCTACAATCCCTGATATTTCAATAGGATTACTCATATCTATGTTTTCACGTAAAGTTTGATGAATAATTTGCTTTTGAACAGCAGTATGGCCACCATCCCTATAAAGTTTGTTCACATTCTCGATGAAACAAGAAGCATCAAACCTATGAGAGATTTTGTCATATAGGACAGCTGCATGAGTCGTCTTTCCTATTCCATTCATTCCCCAAACTCCTAAAACTTGAACTTTGTTTGAGCTTAATCTTAATTTGTCTTCTAATGCTTGTACGCGTGGTTGTATCCCAACAAGGTCATCAATAAACCCAGAGAATTTATGACCCAATTTTTTAATTACTGCTTGAACAATGTGTTGAATCTGTTCAAACTCTGGCCTGCAAGAGAAGGAAAAAAATAGAGCACTCAACCATTATTTAAATTGTGTTACGAATCTAAGACAAAAAAGCAAATGGCTATAATTGATACTTACTTGTCCCTCACATCCCAACCCGCTGAATTGGCCAAATCCGTCATAGCCCTCTCCCATCCAAGAACCTTGTCCAAATCTTTTTGGAATTTGCATCTGTGTGAAACGAAGTCATTCTTGTATACCCCATTCTGACGTCTTACATGAGATGGATCTACATCATAGAAAATGGGGAAAACAATTTGGCTTGATTGTTGTTTGCAAGAAGCTATAGCGGCCATTTCTTCTAAACACCAAGTGGAAGAAGCATAATTTTTGGAAAAGACAATGATAGAAAGGCGTGAAAGTTGAATTGCTTGTAGAAGCTGTGGGGAAATGGATTTTCCTTTCTGTAGTTGGTGGTCATCTTTGAAGACGAAAATGCCCTTTCGGAGGAGATGAGAGCAGAGATGATCAACGAAAGAGTTGCGGGTGTCAGGACCTCTGAAACTGATGAACACATCGTATATGTAGTGTTGGTTTTGGATGGTGTGCGAGGAGTCGTATGAAGAGGAAGAAGAAGTGGATCCCGATGATCGACCACAGAAGCAGTTCCAAAACCGCTTAAGCCCTGATTTAGTTTTCACCATCTACTTCTTCTGATAGAAGCAGTGTTGGTTCAGTCAAATTCACGACACAGAGAGGAAGAACAACTCTTTAAAAAAAAGTGTAGATTTGATTTGTTGAAATGATTTAGAAGCTGAAAAGTGTAGAACTGAACACTAACTCACCTGCGCAGAAGCTATTGCTTTCATTCAACATGAGAACATTCTTCTTTGCCTTGTGTACGCAATGGAGAAAAGAACAACCACGTAAACACATTTCTATGATTTCCCCACTTACTATCCTCCATGATTTCTTTCACATTGGATATGCTTTAAAAAAAGCGTGTATTTTAATAGGTGGTTGCTTCGTTAGAAAAAGTCCAGCGACATTTCTTTGGAATAACTGCAATGTCTAAACAGAAAATTCCCCCAGCCGGATGATTTTGTCCCATCTTGGAGATATTTACAATGACATAGTTTTTATTATGTGTCATTTCTACTTGTTAATTTGTAGCGACAAGGACGGTTATTTGATGGACCTAATAAAGTAATAAAGTTCATATTTATATAAATCCCTAAATTATATATAAAGGTTTCTCTCCTTTAATCCCCCGGAAGGAGATATAAAATAGAGAATTAAACAATATGCAATGTGAAAGTTTGGATCGTTTTCTGTTGGACCATCTTTTTATGGAAAAATATACATAATATGTAACTTTGAGATCTAATTTTGAATTTCTACATTAGGTAGCTGTTAGAAAATCATCAACTATTTTATAGATTTATTATTCATGGAGCTAATTATTCTTATCTAGTTTTTCACTCCTCAAAATGCAAAACTAGTCAGAATTAGATTCAGAAAAGTCAATGTCGACTAAATTTTCTCTTTTTTAAAACAAATCAAAAGGTTGCAAATAATAAAGAAAATTAAAAACAAAAACAAAAAAAGAAGAAGGATATTATCATAAAATTATTTGTTTTGTCAGATAATAAGTATTTATTAGCGAAGATCTATGTCTCTATATTTACGTTATTAAATAAAATAATATACATGTTTTTTATTTATTGTCAAATATTAATAAATAAATTATAATTATATAAATATCAAATTAGAATATTAAGTAATAGTTGAATAAAACTTAATTAATTATGGGGGAAAAGTAAAAAATATTAAATGTATAGTTAAAAATAAGTTATGAATCTAAAGACGAAAAAAAATCATATATACTTTTAGATTACTTAATAAATAAATATGTTTTAATAATTTAAGCGAAGACCGATATAGAATAAGTACGTGGATAAGATGGATATATACACATGTATTTTCATATCAATTTTAAAATTTTGACATTATCCAAACTCATAATCAACATGACCATTTTTTTCTCAAAATAATAACAAATTCGGAATTATTTTGGTGGACAAATTTATTTGCGATCCTAGTTAAAATTCACATAAACCTAAACCTCTTAATGTTTATTATATGTTGCAATGAATGTTTTCTTCCTTTCCATCATGATGATCCATAAAAGTATATGTTAACATTATAAATCTCTTAAAAAAATAAGTTAAAGTAACTATGCTTTAACAACTCCTTAACATGTGCTTTCACAACTTTGGATAAATGTATGACTTTATGCTTACCAACTTCAAGTAAATATATTTTCTAAATGTATAGCTAAAAATAACTTATGAATCTAAAGAAGTAAAAACAAAAAGTTTATATATACTTTTTATTGTGACAAAATCACGAATAATATTTTATGAGACGTGTAATTTTATTTAAGGACTTATCCGCGGTGTATTGTGCAAGTTTCTCAGATACAACATGAACTTCTTGAAAATATTTGAGAATCCTAGAGCTGGGAAGAAACTCTAAAAAGAGTTTATACCCAAGATATAAGAGTTAAAGTAAACACAGAAACAAGAAGAAAAAGGGTGTAATTTGTGAGAATGAGAGCTAGAAAATAGAAAGAATTTTTATTTTTCTTTTTATGGAATGAAGGGGTGCTCCATTTATAGAGTATGCAAAGGATCGTTGCCAACAAATGAGCGTTTCATCAGAACGTTGGTATTGGAACATTGCACTCATGAATGCACTTCATGATAGATGATCTACTACCAGATATTATGTTTTCCTGGGAGGAAACATTATTTCCTGAAAAAGTAAGAAAGAGAATATAGTTGCTCGATCAACAGTTGAAGCCGAGTATATGGCAATGACATCACTAACATGTGAACTTATATGTGTAAAGCAGTTCCTTCAAGAGCTTAAATTTTGTAACATCTAAACTATGAAGATGTATTGCGATAATCAAATTGTTCTCCACATTGCATCAAATCTAGTGTTTCATGAGAGAACTAAACATATAGAAATTGATTGTCATTTTGATAGTGAAAAGTTGTTGACAAAAGAAATATGTACTGAGTTTATTGGATCAAATGACCAACTCGCAGATGTTTTGACCAAGTCATTATGGAGTCCTTCGATTGAGTTTATTTGTTCCAAACTTGGTACATACAATTTGTATACTCCAACTTGAGGGAAAGTGTTAGAATAATTACATCTATATATTATCATTAGGCCTACTTAGGGTGTAGTGTGCTAGCTTTTATGGGTTGTAGCTATAGTAATACCTCATTTTGCACCTAGGTGTTTAGGACAATCTCTAAATCTTCCATGTATTATTGTATCAGTTCATTATTATAAATAGAAGATTGTGAGAGGGATCAACTAAGCCCTCTAGAAATATATTTTGTTTTAATCTCAAGTATAAGGTGGCATGCTATTTCACCCATTTTGTATCTTATAGTCTTGCATGATATGGGGTTATCACTAGGGCTATAATATTTGTTGGAAAAGCTTACCTTTATTTAGACTCAAGTCATAGTCTTGTTCCCCTAAGACTTTTTTGTTGGCAAAAATTTTCTGATTAATTGTAATTAAATAGATTTGGCCTTTTAAAATATTGTTGAAGCTTAGTAAGGTGATCCTTTTCTGTTTTATCATCCAGGTAGCAGCCCTTGGTTCCATCAACAATATGTAGTTGACTTCTTGCCACATAAATCAACATTCGTACAATGTAGGGGCGTTAAAGAGCTTGTGCATTTGACCAAGTCGATCGATTCATCCTTATGAATAAATATTGTATGGATATTGAGGAACATGGTATTCCTTGCAGACGCGATATGCAAGTAAGGAGTTTTTGTGGAGTTAACAGCATCTAACTATTCATACTTGTTCTCTTTTAGAAGTGAAACCCACCTGTTATTAGCATTCCATGAGAAAGAAAGTAGAGATTTGTGTTTTTCATGAATGAGAAATTAATGAAGAAAGCAAAAGAAAACTTTATCCTAGAAGCTAATATAGTAACTCGTTCTCCCTTCAGTGCGTGTGAATAGTCTATACCTTTTTTGCAAAACTCATGTGTATGTTACTTTTACCTCTGTGAAACATGAGACTGACCAATAAGGTATGCTTAGATATGCATAAACAAGTTCAATTTTCTTCAATGTGATATATGATTGCAGGCTATATACAGGGACCATATCAAATATGCTCCAAATCAATGGGTAATATTACCACTTCCCACCANCCATTCATTCCCCAAACTCCTAAAACTTGAACTTTGTTTGAGCTTAATCTTAATTTGTCTTCTAATGCTTGTACGCGTGGTTGTATCCCAACAAGGTCATCAATAAACCCAGAGAATTTATGACCCAATTTTTTAATTACTGCTTGAACAATGTGTTGAATCTGTTCAAACTCTGGCCTGCAAGAGAAGGAAAAAAATAGAGCACTCAACCATTATTTAAATTGTGTTACGAATCTAAGACAAAAAAGCAAATGGCTATAATTGATACTTACTTGTCCCTCACATCCCAACCCGCTGAATTGGCCAAATCCGTCATAGCCCTCTCCCATCCAAGAACCTTGTCCAAATCTTTTTGGAATTTGCATCTGTGTGAAACGAAGTCATTCTTGTATACCCCATTCTGACGTCTTACATGAGATGGATCTACATCATAGAAAATGGGGAAAACAATTTGGCTTGATTGTTGTTTGCAAGAAGCTATAGCGGCCATTTCTTCTAAACACCAAGTGGAAGAAGCATAATTTTTGGAAAAGACAATGATAGAAAGGCGTGAAAGTTGAATTGCTTGTAGAAGCTGTGGGGAAATGGATTTTCCTTTCTGTAGTTGGTGGTCATCTTTGAAGACGAAAATGCCCTTTCGGAGGAGATGAGAGCAGAGATGATCAACGAAAGAGTTGCGGGTGTCAGGACCTCTGAAACTGATGAACACATCGTATATGTAGTGTTGGTTTTGGATGGTGTGCGAGGAGTCGTATGAAGAGGAAGAAGAAGTGGATCCCGATGATCGACCACAGAAGCAGTTCCAAAACCGCTTAAGCCCTGATTTAGTTTTCACCATCTACTTCTTCTGATAGAAGCAGTGTTGGTTCAGTCAAATTCACGACACAGAGAGGAAGAACAACTCTTTAAAAAAAAGTGTAGATTTGATTTGTTGAAATGATTTAGAAGCTGAAAAGTGTAGAACTGAACACTAACTCACCTGCGCAGAAGCTATTGCTTTCATTCAACATGAGAACATTCTTCTTTGCCTTGTGTACGCAATGGAGAAAAGAACAACCACGTAAACACATTTCTATGATTTCCCCACTTACTATCCTCCATGATTTCTTTCACATTGGATATGCTTTAAAAAAAGCGTGTATTTTAATAGGTGGTTGCTTCGTTAGAAAAAGTCCAGCGACATTTCTTTGGAATAACTGCAATGTCTAAACAGAAAATTCCCCCAGCCGGATGATTTTGTCCCATCTTGGAGATATTTACAATGACATAGTTTTTATTATGTGTCATTTCTACTTGTTAATTTGTAGCGACAAGGACGGTTATTTGATGGACCTAATAAAGTAATAAAGTTCATATTTATATAAATCCCTAAATTATATATAAAGGTTTCTCTCCTTTAATCCTCCGGAAGGAGATATAAAATAGAGAATTAAACAATATGCAATGTGAAAGTTTGGATCGTTTTCTGTTGGACCATCTTTTTATGGAAAAATATACATAATATGTAACTTTGAGATCTAATTTTGAATTTCTACATTAGGTAGCTGTTAGAAAATCATCAACTATTTTATAGATTTATTATTCATGGAGCTAATTATTCTTATCTAGTTTTTCACTCCTCAAAATGCAAAACTAGTCAGAATTTGATTCAGAAAAGTCAATGTCGACTAAATTTTCTCTTTTTTAAAACAAATCAAAAGGTTGCAAATAATAAAGAAAATTAAAAACAAAAACAAAAAAAGAAGAAGGATATTATCATAAAATTATTTGTTTTGTCAGATAATAAGTATTTATTAGCGAAGATCTATGTCTCTATATTTACGTTATTAAATAAAATAATATACATGTTTTTTATTTATTGTCAAATATTAATAAATAAATTATAATTATATAAATATCAAATTAGAATATTAAGTAATAGTTGAATAAAACTTAATTAATTATGGGGGAAAAGTAAAAAATATTAAATGTATAGTTAAAAATAAGTTATGAATCTAAAGACGAAAAAAAATCATATATACTTTT